CCCCAGGGCGCCCTTTCCTGCTCTTTGGCATCCGCGATGGGACCTGGAGCCGGCTCAGGCTTTCTCGGAATTGTTACTGCGGCACCTCGCTCAAAATTCTCTACAAAATGAAGTCTGAGAGGGCGGGAGTCGAGGACTCCAAAATGGATGTTTGAGCAATTCATATCAGTGCTGAAAACTCCTTCGTTGAACACTACAAAATTTTCAAGCACAGCCTATCGGCCATAGATAGTATCAACGAGAGGCAGTGTCTAGTTTTTAGTATTTTTGAACCTGGAGCATTTTCTGTTGCAAGTCACTAGATCTTACTGATTTAAATAGTAAATTACTAAAAACAAAGTGAGAGTTTATTCTCTTTTGTATTCAGGAGTGAACAGTCTTTGAGTACTTTTCTAATGACCATTCAAAATGAGTGAGTTGTAGTTTTTGCAATCCTGTACTTAAATTTGCAGTGATTTTTTTGTCAGGAGGCTAAGTAAAACATTAGCAAACATTGAAATTAGCGAAGTTACTTCGTACTTTAGCTTTTGAAGAGGGATGTAAGTACCAGTGTTAGAAACAGAAGTATACGTAAGAATTGTATTTACATGCATAATAATATGTACTGTACTTGTAGTTGAATTTGATTGGCAAAGCTATATTTTCATTTTATTATGACTGCTAGTGTGATAGGATGTGGAGGGATTATTTTTGTAGTGTCTTTCAGTGTCTGGGGCAGGGGCAGGAGCTGACCTATGATATGAGGGTTTAATACAAATTAGGTGAGAAGAGTTTTTAGACTATTAATTGTGAATTTTACATTTGTTTGAATCGTTGCTGTTGTGTTAACGTGTAGGTGTGTTCACCTATTAAGTCATTGATAACGCTCAGATTTTTTTTGTGGTGGATCATAGGAATTGTAAATAGTCACTGAAAACAAAGGTTTGTATTTGTTATAGTCTGCAGCAAATACGTAGTATGTTTAGGCATTAAAAGTTAATCTAATGCTAATCTGATGTTCCTATATTATTGGTTAATATATTTGTAATTTTAGTGCTTAAAATTATGCTGCAGGGGATGTGAATAGTTTTAATGTTTTAATTGTGCCTTTATAAGCAGATTAAAATGTTCAAGCATAAAATTATGTTGTGAGAGGCATTGTTATTTTCAAACAAGTTTATGGACTGGTAGATCTTTTTTATGAACCCATTCTCAAAGTGCCAACACAAATTGTATCTTAAAAAACTCCTGAATAACTAAAATTGAAAAGCATATTGCTTCTACTCACCTTTTTAATTACTTCAAGTAGAATAAAAATTTTCTTGTAGCCGTAATTTATGAAGTTTAGATACTAGCTTACAGATGGGGGAGGGGAGAAGTGAAGAAGGAAGTTACGCGTGAAAAATGTGTGTATATGTTTGTGAGTCTCAGGCCAAGGAATAGAATACTGTCTCCAACTTTGGCCAGTTGTGGTCATGTACTTGTAGAGAAGATGTTTCCATGGCTCTCCAGCTCCTTTTCTGAATTGCAGTCACTCCTGACAACACATTTTTTGCCAGATTTATCAATCAAATACACCATAATTTGCCAATCATAATAAAATGAAAATATAGTTGTGCCAAAACACAGAAAACGTACATTTCTTTATGATATTTGGTACCTGTGCATAAGATTTTTCACTCTGAGTAAAATTGATAAGACTGGCTTGTTTTTGTTTGTCTTAGCAAATAGAAACACTATTTTTCCAGTTCAAAAGTGAACTTCCAGACCTTTTTTTAGTACATCTTAGAAAATGAAAGAAATTCATGTGAGTTTATAAGTATATTTTATTAAAACATGTTAATCTTAATTACAGAAATGACTGGGAATCATGAGAGGTTATAGTTGTGTTTTTAAAAAGTTGTATTTTGGAATAATTTTAGATTTACAGAAAAGTTGGAAATATAGAACTGAGAGTCAGCTTATACCCTTCATCCAGCTTCCCCTGATGTTACTATAACCCTGGTACATTTGTCTATAGGAAGTTAACACTGGTATGATACTACTGACTAACTTCAAACTTTACTTAAATTTCACCAGTTTTTCCACTAATGTCCATTTTCTTTTCTGGTATCCATTCCACATGCCACACTGCATATGCATTGTGCTTAAATTCAAGCGAAATATATACATACAGTTCAACTTTATTCCAGTTTAGCTTGGTATTTTAAGATTAAAAGCACCTTGAAAAGCCTTTGACTGTGCTAAAGATTTACTTTGAATATTTGAATTTTGAGTTTGTTCTAAAAGAGGATCCTAGCCAATGGTGTTTGGTTATCCTCAGTACAATGCTGAAGTCTAGTAGTCACAATGCAATCTCACCTGTGATGTCCTACAAAATGGACTGTCAAAGATGGATTTATAGCGAGGCTTTTTGTGTTTTATGACTGAAAGTTGTGTGATTAATTTTAGCAACAAACCAGGAAATAGAAAAAAGTAGACCTTTATGTGAGTATAATCTTGTCCAGTTTGCTTTTGTATGAACTCGTGAGTTATTAATTTACTTATTTTGTTTGTATTTTAACTTAGTGAAATAAACTGAAGAAGTAAATATTATGAAAGTGATTGACCTTTGGTTTAGGTTTAGTGTTCATTAATTTAGCACATACATGTTGATGAACTTAAAAAATGAATAATAACTTATTTCAAAAAAAGGTCATTTTTGCCATTACTTAAAATAAGACCTGCACTGTCATTTGTAATGTATTCATTGGGTTGAGTCATTGTTTTTATTTACCTTTTAGAGTTCCTTAAAGATTTTAAGAAACTTGAGTATCTGCCTGAGAATGGTTCCTAGTTTGCTTCCACCTCGGCTTCACACTTCCTTCCAGTTCTTTGCCTATTTCTGCCTTTCATTTGTGGGAGCTGAGTAGTTAATAATTCTTCCCAAATGCTATGCAATAAGTGGTGTATTTTTTTCCCCCTTTTACGCACAGGTATTTTCTAAGGAGATATATGCCTTCTTTTTCTTCCTCTTTTTCCCATTTTTATGCTCTGTTGCACAGGAGAATGCCCTTGAAACGAATTGCTATAGCAGTGTCATTCTGGTGCCACCCCTTTGTGCCACCCCTGCATTCCTAAGGCTACAGTAGGTTGTGGTCCTTTTAACCATGTGGTTATGTGTTTATGTATAGAGACTTAGACTGCCTTCAGTAACGACTTTTTACAATACTGATGCCAACATCCATGTTAGATGGTGTTTTGTTTGTAATTGTCCAATAAGAATGTTAGTTTCTGAGAGAAGCACTGGTGGATTTTTCATTCAGTTTGTAAGCTTATGTAAAGGGTTATCTTTCTCCTAAACCAGATATTAGTTCTTGTCTGGGTTGAGTGTTTTTATATATCTTTTTCTTCCTTTGTTTCTATAGTGTTTCCATTATCCCAACATCAAACAATTTTAAAACTTTTTTTTTTGGTCTTAGATGATTTTCTAATTTATCCCTTTCCCATTTGGTATTTAGTATACTTTATCTCTTTTCATAGTATATTGCTGATGAAAGGGGTTTAGGAGGCTATATTTGGTACTTATTCATTGTGGAATTATGAGAATAAATAGGTTTAAAATTAGTTTAGCCTTTTTCATAGAAGGCTCTAATACCTGAAAGTTTGTTTTATTGATCCCTTCTGTCGTTTTATTTGCAATTATTTTAAAATAAAATACCTCTAACTATTCATTCAAAAAATATATTGGTCTTACTTTGTGCCAAGAATTGTACTATGCCTATTAATGGATATTTTAAAAATCTGTTCTCATAATCTTAGTAATCATAATGATACCTTGGGATTGCATGTTGCTATATAGTTTATAAAGCTTAACATTTTCTTTTTGGTTTTTATGACTCTGCAAGGTAATAGTTTTCCCATTGTTGACATGAGGAAATTGAGTCTTGTTCAGAATCACACACAGTTCCACAGTTAAGACCAGAACTCAGTTCTGATTTCTTTCCTTTCAAGTATAATATACTCCTTTCTCTCAAGCATAGCTTTAGTTTGAATCATCAAAGTCTAGTAGTTTTCTGATTCAATGTATTTTTTTTGTTCAATTTTAAAAACATAGTATTGAGCAAATTTTTTTCAAGCTACAAATTTATTAATTTGAAAAATTATTTTTCTCTTTTATAAATTCTTTTGTTGTCTTTTTGCTTCATAGATATTTGTATGTATGCTTTTCACCTTAGGTTTATTCAAAAAAGTTCAGGATACATCATTTTGTCATGGATTTGGAGATTTACTTTCAGTTAATTTCCTGCATTGCTGGGGAAAATGGTACTATAGTTTATTTTTACTTAGCTTCTAGAGAGGGGGTGACTTGGGCAGTATTTACCTCAGACTTGTCATTTGAGTAGTTGTGTTTATTTTCAAGGAATTTTTTGACTAGAAAGCTGTTCAATGTATAGTTGAATATCTACCTTTATTATTATTTTGTAAAAAATTTTTTTAGGTGCCGTAAATTAGATCTTTTTTTTAAAGAAAGGAAAAGGAACAAAATGCCAGTATTGGAAAGTTAATTTATGTCTGAGATACTATATTCTTTGATAAGAGCTAGATACTTGTAAATTTAATGCTGGTCAGAAAAAAGTTGATTCTCCAGATGAACCTTAAGAAGATAAAGATTTGATTTGAGGCATGCTTTAGTGCAGATTTGAGAGTAAAGTATAGGTTTAAATATTTTTAGTTTACCTAAAATGCTGAGAGATTGAAATGAAACATGATTTGTTACTGTAATGTTTTTGTTTTTTGAATCAGGGTCTCATTTTGTCACCTAGGCTAGAGTGTAGTAGCATGATTCACCACAGCCTCCTGGGCTTTGGCAGTCTTCTCTCCTAAGTCTCCTGAGTAGCTGGGACTAAAGGCATGCACTACTGTGCCTGGCTTATTTTTTTGATTTTTTTTTTGGAAGAGACAAGAACTCACTATGTTGCCCAGGCTGGTCTCAAAACTCCTGGGCTCAATTGATGCTCCTGCCTAGGCCTCCCAAAGTGCTGGGATTATAGGTGTGAGCCACTGCAGATTGCCGTGTTACTGTAACGTTAAAGGTGACTTAAATTTGTAATTTCTATACCAGATTAAGGTTGAAGAATGACTTGTGACTTTAATGTCTGGTGCTTCATTTTAAAATTTCAGTTTAATAAGTTTAAGTGTTTGTATATAAAAGATCACTGTTTTAGTTCCGGTCTAGAGATTTATACTGGTTCCCACAGTTTCTCAGCCTTTAATCCCTCTGTCTTTCTTTCAGTTTCCTTCCCTAGGCCTTAGTTTATCTTTATTTATTTATTTTTGAGTTGGAGTTTCACTCCGTTGCCCAGACAGGAGTGCAGTGGTTGCTCCTGGCCACCGCAGCCTCAACCCACTGGGCTCCGGCGATCCTTTCAGCCTCAGCCTTCCGAGTAGCCGGAATTACAGGCATGCACTACCATGCCCGGCTGATTTTTGATTTATTGTAGAGATGAGGTCTCGTCAAGTTGCCCAGGTGGGTCTTGAACCCGCGGGCTCAGGTAATCCACTCACCTCAGCCTCCCAAAGGCGCGGGATTACAAGCTGAGCCACCGAGCCCGGCTTAGTTTATCTTTATAGAACACAGATGTGATTGCACTACTCACTTGCTTATAAACTTTTATAACTTTCATTCACTATCTACAGGATAAAGTCCAAACAATTTAGTGGAATCTGTGAAAACATTTACAGGCCTTGACAAAAATGTCTAGTTCCTTGTTACTTTTCTCTGTGAATATCAGCCTTTTCTGGATCCTCTCTTGAGCTCCAGACTGCATATTTTTCTTTCCTTTTTTGCTGGGGTTTCTCTTTTTTGTTGTTGTTTTCTTTTTTATTGCCCGGGCTGGAATGCAGTGACACAAACATGGCTCACTGCAGCCTCAACTTCTTGGGCTCATGGGATACTTCCACCTCAGCCTCATGAGTAGCTAAGACTACAGGAGAGCACCACCGTGCCCAACTTTTTTTTTTTTTTTTGGTAGAGACGAGGTCTTGCTGTGTTGCCTAGGCAACAGTTTCTTTTTGCTGGTGGTTTTATTGTTTATATCTTTATTCTTGCTTCTGTTTTCTAACTGATCATGGTAAAATCTTGTATTTTGTTCTGTTGTTACTTTACTATTTCTGTGAAATCTTTTTAAAAATCTATGTTCCCATAGTGTTTTGATCATATGGCTCGTATATGCCACTTTTTACATCATATTAGCATGTATAAGTATGTCTGCTTGGACATACATATTTGTAGATAGGGATTGTGTATTTCATGGGTTTATTTACATGCTTATTTCATCCTGGCAGATATGTTCAAGTGTTTGAGTTGAGTCATTAAACTATGGTTCATCCATTGAATTGTTGTATATATTTCTCAACTATATATATGTGAAAACTAGATAGTGAGTTTCTTTAAGAAACTTATGAGCTTTTGGTTCTATAATATTTGCATTAAATTTTATAGAGTGGCTTTTGTTGGGAGAACAGTATATGTCTTAACCCATTTTTATGGTCACAGACCCCCACTGAGAATATGGTGAAACCCTAGATTATCTGCCTCCAGATTACACTTTCTCAAGAAGTTGGCATGCTGTTTTAGAGGATTCAAAGATTTTTTGAAGCCCGGTTATGGATCCTAGGCTGATAGTGCTGCACTAGATGCACTTTTACTCTCATTGTCTAGTGATACGTGGAGTTACTGAAAATCACAGATAGATCTAGAAGGAAGTAGGATAAGGATGGCTTTATTTTGATGATGAATAAATCATATAGGTTCTTATTTCCTGTGTCTTTACCCTTGGTCTTAGGAGGGGACAAATGGTATCGTGTTTAAGGGCCTGGGCTTTGGAGTTAGGTTTAGCCTAGTTTTAAATCCTGTCTTGGCACGGTAGCTATGTGACTTTTTCCCCTTGATTTTCTCAGTTTGTGAAATAGGGTTAACAACACCTACTTCATAGGATTGTTTTAAGGAGTAAATTATACAATCTTATGAACTTCTCTCATAGTACTTGGCATATAAAAGAAAAGCTCAAATGATAGATATTACTGTCTTATTCTCTTATAAAAAATCTATCTTTGGATGTTGACACGTAGAATTTTATTGTTTTTTGCTTGCTATGTTGGTATTTTTCCAATCTTGCTTAATCCATAAACTATGGGGATCCCTGAGATTCTAGCTAGTCATATATAGAAGGCAAAACGTGTACCTGGCACTCTGTTGCACTCTTAAAATTCAATAGTAGGTAAAGCCACAATCTGTATCCTCCAGCTTTTGGATTCTAGGAAAACTTTTCAGATGGGACTGTTTTGCCGTGTCGTCACAGGGCAGTAACCTTTCCTCATTAAATTTTTTTAAGGTCTTGTATATTTCCTAGTAGTTCTTGGGAAAAGTAGAGTTTGATGGTTTGATAAGGGAATAGCTCTAGCCATGAGTTTACTCTAGAGTACATTAATTCACACCTTAAGAGAATAGCTTTAATTATTTGATTTCAGGTTTATAACAATAATATACAAACATTTTCCTACTTGGATGACTTAGTACCCTGTGCTACTGTTTCTTTTTTTATATACAAATATAATGCACCTCATTTAGTGGGCTGTATACTTTTTGAACTCTCTCCAATTGTTGAGGTATGTTTAGTCTGAATGCTTCATCTTTTCTAGTCACCTCCACTTTTTTTTTTTTTTTTTAAACTATATAGCATTAGAGATCATAGATGCAGGAATATAAGATGAGTTTGTGACTGTAAAGGAAAGAACTTTCTGATTGAGATTTTTTTCCCCTGCTCAAATGCAATGGGCCATCTTTGTAATAACTAACAAAACTGGAAGTAATAATTATAGTTCATATAGTGTTGATTCTGTATTTGAACTCTGTTGTGTTATTAAGATAATTTGCACTTTCAGGTATTAGAATTTATACCACTTTTTAGAGTTTTTTTTGAGGATTGGTTTAAATATACCATAAATATATCACATTTTTGTTTTCTTCATCCAGACAGGTGATTTGGCTTCTGCACAGTTAGGAGGAGCACCAAACCGATGGGAGGTTTTGTCAGCTACACCTACAACTATAAAAGATGAAGCTGGTAATCTAGTACAGATTCCAAGTGCTGCTACTTCAAGTGGGCAGTATGTTCTTCCCCTTCAGAATTTGCAGAATCAACAAATATTTTCAGTTGCACCAGGATCAGAGTCATCAAATGGTACAGTGTCCAATGTTCAATATCAAGTAATACCACAGATTCAGTCAACAGATGGTCAGCAGGTTCAGATTGGTTTCACAGGCTCTTCAGATAATGGGGGTATAAATCAAGAAAGTAGTCAAATTCAGATCATTCCTGGCTCTAATCAGACCTTACTTGCCTCTGGAACACCTCCTGCTAATATCCAGAATCTCATACCACAGACTGGTCAAGTCCAGGTTCAGGGAGTTGCAATTGGTGGTTCATCTTTTCCTGGCCAAACCCAAGTAGTTGCTAATGTGCCTCTTGGTCTGCCGGGAAATATTACCTTTGTACCAATCAATAGTGTCGATCTAGATTCTTTGGGACTTTCGGGCAGTTCTCAGACAATGACTGCAGGCATTAATGCCGATGGACATTTGATAAACACAGGACAAGCTATGGATAGTTCAGACAATTCAGAAAGGACTGGTGAGCGGGTTTCTCCTGATATTAATGAAACTAATACTGATACAGATTTATTTGTGCCAACATCCTCTTCATCACAATTGCCTGTTACGATAGATAGTACAGGTATATTACAACAAAACACAAATAGCTTGACTACTTCTAGTGGGCAAGTCCATTCTTCAGATCTTCAGGGAAATTATATCCAGTCGCCTGTTTCTGAGGAGACACAGGCACAGAATATTCAGGTTTCTACAGCACAGCCTGTTGTACAACATCTACAGCTTCAAGAGTCTCAGCAGCCAACCAGTCAAGCCCAAATTGTGCAAGGCATTACACCACAGACAATCCATGGTGTGCAAGCCAGTGGTCAAAATATATCACAACAGGCTTTGCAAAATCTTCAGTTGCAGCTGAATCCTGGAACCTTTTTAATTCAGGCACAGACAGTGACCCCTTCTGGACAGATAACTTGGCAGACGTTTCAAGTACAAGGGGTCCAGAACTTGCAGAATTTGCAAATACAGAATACTGCTGCCCAACAAATAACTTTGACGCCTGTTCAGACACTCACACTTGGTCAAGTTGCAGCAGGTGGAGCCTTGACTTCAACTCCAGTTAGTCTAAGCACTGGTCAGTTGCCAAATCTACAGACAGTTACAGTAAACTCTATAGATTCTACTGGTATACAGCTACATCCAGGAGAGAATGCTGACAGTCCTGCAGGTGAGTCTTAAGTTATGTCATGCCATAAGTAAATATGTTCAGTGATAACGTAGAGGGCATTTTTTTGCTTTAGGTGTTCATCAGAACCTGGCTCTCATTAATGGTGATGATCTATTTCCCTATGTTTGTTTGAAAGTAGACATCAAAGTATCTTTCAAGTTGTTCTTTGAAATTTTGCAGTTTTTAAAGTTAAGAAATTATTTTTCTGTTATGCCCATTACATTTGTAGTTTTTCTTTAACAGTTTTAAAATTTGTTTTGACATCTGATTTGGCAGTGTTAGGCACTATAAAATTTTTGTTTGGCATGTAGAGTATCTTGGTTGGCCTCAGTGTGATGCCAGTTAAATGTCTTATGCATTGTATTTCAGTTGGGGAGTCAGATTGGCATAGTGAAAATGGTACTGAGAATAAAGACTACTTATTCTATCTCAGCTACTAGCTAGCTGTGTGATTTTTGCCAAATTATTTTTCTCTTGCAATCTTGGTTTTCTCATTGTGTAAAGTAGGGATGTTGGACTAGGTAACTATGTCCAGATTGCCTCCCATGTCTAAAATTCTTTGAATTTGTGCTCATGGCCATTAAACTTAGCTGTGCTAATAGTTATTGATAGTATGGGTAGAAATCACAGAAGTCTACTTTTGAATGTTGTACAAGAATTAGATAATAAAGTTTCAAAAGAGATAGTATCATTGTTACTCTACTATGTGGTCTAGATAACATTTTATTGAATATTTTGTGCACTAAATTGTGAACTTTATTAATTTAATTCTACCTTGTATTTGGGTTTCTGTGGAGATCGTTCTGTTACAGCTTTTTACTGGGCCAGTGATTCTAAATTCTTAAATTGGGGCACTTGAATTGAACTGATTGAAATAGCTTTCTTTACCATTTAGGGATTACCTTTTTTCGTTTGAGGGATTTGTGATATATGCTTAGAAAGTTGGAATGGTTTTGGAGCCTCAGATCTGTCTTTGGAAATCCTTTAATTCTCCTCATTTGAGCCTTTTGAAGCTATGACTAATTGATTTTTTAGGGGTTGGGATTAGGGTTCCTGAAGCTGTGGCTTAAAGCATCAGTTCTTAAATATGATCTGGAGACCCCGAGATCCCCTCAGAGGTCCTTCATATCAAACTACACTAAGAAATTATTTTTCGTTTTCGCTCTGTTGACACTTTCACTGGTAGTGGATAAAATTGCTTGTGTCTTAGCACGAATCAAGGCAGTGACATCAAACTGTACCTAGGAGTTGCTGTATTCTTCATGACCATGCACTTGCAGTTACAGAAAAATAACAGTTCGTTGAAGAATGACCTGGGTGAACCTATAAAAATAGTTATTTTTACTAAAACAAGACCCTTGAGTGCTGGATACTTTAAAAAAATAATAGCTTTATTGGGATATAATTTACATACCATAAAATTTGCCCTTTATAGAATTCAGTGGTTTTTAGTATAGTCATAGAGTTGTACAACCATCATTACTATCTAATTTTAGAGCATTTTTATCACCCCAAAAGGAAACCCATATCCATTAGCAGTCACTCCTTGTTTACCCTTCCCCTCAGGCCCTGGCAACCATTACTTTACTTTCTGTCCCTTTGGATTTGCCTATTACTTTATATCAGTGTAATTGTACAGTATGTGGCCTTTGGTGTTTGGCTTCTTTGAGTTAGCATAATGTTTTCGAGGTTCATCTGTGTTGTGGCGTGTACCAGTACTTCATTCCTTTTTATGACCGAATACCGTTCCATTGTATGGATATACCACATTTTATTATGCGTCTGTTGGTGAACTTCTGGGTTGTTTCCACTTACTGGCCATTATGAATAATGCTGCTGTGAACATTTGTATAAGTAGTATTTTTTGAAGAAATGTCTTCTTTTGGGTTATTTAGGAGTATTGCTGGAATATATGGTAACTGTTTAACTTTCTGAGGAATTGCCAAACTGTTTTTCCAAATAGATGGCACCATTTTACATTCCCAACAACCATATATTCAAGTTTCCAATTTCTTTACAGCACCACCACACTAATTATTGACCATCTTTTTAATTATAGCTATCCTAGTGGGTGTGAAGTGGTATCTCACTGTCATTTTGATTTGTGGCTCCCCCTGTGTGTCTTTATAATAGTCTTAGTAATGAAATGGGAAGTATGGTATAATAAAGTGTTTCTGCTGCATGCCAAAATAAGATAATTGTCTGAAAAAAGGCACTCCTGCCCCCCTCCCCACCTCCAGGTTATACAGCAAGTTGCTTTTCTCTGAAAGAATGACTGACACACTGATTTTTGAGATTAGCATAAAGTGCCAGATATTTTATCAATAAAATGAAGTGAGTTTTTTTTACTTAAAACAGAAACCAAAAAACCAGAGATTATTTGCTGTTGATAACAAAATGTGGGCTTTCCAGTGAAAATTAGAACTTGGGAAAACTCAAATCTACTACCATGAACTTAATAGCTGCTGCTTCTCCTTTTTTTTTTGAGTCGGAGTCTCACTTACTCGCCCAGACTGGAGTGCATTGGCATGCTCCCGGCCGCCGCAGCCTCAACCTGCTGGGCTCTGGCGATCCTTCTGCCTTAGCCTTCCAAGTAGCTGGAACTACAGGCATGCGCTACCAAGCCTGGCTAATTTTTGGTTTATTGTAGAGACGAGGTCTTGCCAAGTTGCCTGGGTGGGTCTTGAACCCGCAGGCTCAGGCAGTCCATTCGCCTGGGCCACCCAAAGTGCTTGGATTATAGACTGAGCCACCGAGCCTGGCCTTAATAGCTTCTTAATGCTTACATTTTTTCTGATGAGATGGATATTGTGTTTTGATATTATAATGAAATGTACCAACACTTGGAAGATCTGTATGGTAACTCAGTGAACCAGTAGTTTTCAGATGACCAACTCATTATATCATTAAATCATATATGGGTAAAAGCCATTCAAAATGCAAGATAGACCAGTAACAGTGTAGAAAGTTTATGAGCCGGGCATGGTGGCTCAAGCCTGTAATCCCAGCACTTTGGGAGGCTGAGGTGAGGGGATTGCCTGAGCCCATGGGTTCAAAAACAGCCTGGGCAACTTGATGAGACCTCATCTCTATAGTAAATCAAAAAATTAGCCGGGTGTGGTAGCTCGTGCCTGTAGTTGTGGCTACTTGGAAGGCTGAGGCAGATGTAAGGATTGCCTGAGCACAACAGGTCAGTGCTGAGGTGGCCATGAGCGTGCCACTGCACTCCAGCCTGGGCGACAGAGTGAGACTCCGATTCAAAAACAAAAAAAGTTTACAGATAAGGGTTTCAGATTCTACGTTTGAACTGTCCTTTAAGAAACTGCCACTTGTTAATAAGTTTGGTGTAGTAGCAAACAATACCCACAAATGACCAAAAGGTTATTAAGTTATTTCTCCTTTTTCCAGCTACCTATCTGTGAGACTAAATATTCTTCATATGCCTCAGCCCAAACCACATATTGCAAGAGATTGAATGCAGAGGCAGATCTGAGATGCTAAATGTTGTCTTAACTTAGGCATTATAGAGATTTGCAAAAATGTGAAACCTGGTTTTCACATTAAAATTTTTGTTGTTTTGGAAAATGCTTTTTCACAAACTGATAGTTTATGTTGACATGTAGTAGATTTATTTATTTATTTGTTTATGTATTTTGAGTCTGAGTCAGAGTCTCACTCTGTTGCCTAGGCTGGAGTGAAGTAGCACACGCTCACAGCTACTATGTAGCCTCAGCCTGCTGCGTCACCAAGTTGCCCAAGCTAGTCTCCAACCCCAGTCCTCTCGCCTCTGCCTCCCTAAGTGCTGGGATTACAGGTGTGAGCCATTGTGCCCAGCTGTGGATTTATTTTGAAATGAATTTAAAAATTGAAAATTTCTGTTATTTATGATACTGAAGTTAAATACCTTAATTTCAAATAAGGTAAATATCGATATTATACACACACACACACACACACACACACACACACACCTTACATGAACAAAAGTTTTTTGTGGCCCTCAAAAAGTAATATTTAGGAGTTTGAAAGGAGTTCTGAGACTAAAAAGTTTGAGAA